CTTGCAAGGCAGGTGGCGGAACCACTGAGCTAAATCCCCAGCCCCTACGTCACAGTTTTTCAGGACTACATGCAACCCATGAGTCATGAATTGACATCCCTAGTTTAGATAGTAAATTTTGTTATGTGTATAATTTACCACAATTTTGAAAAGTGGACTGGCCTGGGAGTGTAGCTCAGTGTTAGAGCCCTTGCCTAGCATGCATAAGGCCCAGGGTTCCCTCCCCAGCTCCTAAAAAAAAAAAAAATGAGTAAACACAATAAAATAAAATCATCACAATGCTCAAGAGACTAAGGTAAGAGGATCACAAGTTTAAGGCCAGCCTGAGCAGCTTAGTGAAACCCTGTCTCAAAATAAAAACAGGGCTGTGAATGTAACTCAGTGATAGAGCACTTACCTAGCATGCATGAAGCCATGAGTTCAGTCCCCAGTAGCGCGCGCGTGCACACACACACACACGTACACAATAATAAATAATGAAATAATAATACTAATAGTAAATGAAAGAAAAAGAATGAACCCTCCAGAGTGCTAGTATTAAAACATTAAATATTAAAAAGTGAAATAAAACAGGATATAATAAAAAAGAGACTAAGAAGGAACAATCAGATGAGAAATTCAAAAAAAAAAGTGTGCCACACGGAAAGCTAAGGGTTAGAAGTTTGAAGAAGGGAGCAATTACCAGTTCTGTTAGATGCAGTTTAAAGTCAGCTAAAAGGAGGCCTAATAAGCTTCCGTTTGTCTATTAGATTGAGATGTTTGGAAGCATTTCAGTTAATTACAAAATGATTAAGAGGCAAGGGGGCCCAGGGATTTAGCTCAGTGGTTCCAACGCCTGCCTCGAAAGTGCAAGGTCCCAAGTTCGATCCCTGGTACCAAAAAAAAAAAAAGAGGCAAGGAGATGGAAAAGCGAATACAGACAGCTTTTTCCAGAGGCACAACAGCAGCTGGGCATGATAGAGCACACCTGTAATCCCAGCACTGCCGAGGCTGATGCAAGAGGATCACAAGTTGAGGCCAGCCTGGCCTACACAGTTGAGACCCTGTCTCAAAAAAAAAGCAAAATAATCGCTTCTCGGCCTTTTGGCTAAGATCAAGTGTTAAAAAAAGCAAAATAGCCAGGCCTGGTGTTACATGCCTATAATCCGAGCACTTGGGAGGCTAAGGCAGGAGGATGGCCACAAGTTCAAGACCAGCCTGGACTACAGAGTAAGACCCTGTCTAATAAAAACAAAAAAAAGAACAAGAAAGGAAGAGAGAATAAAGGTAACACAAGAAGAGAAAGTGGGGTGAAACAAATGCTTCTTCCATCAACTTGAGATAACTGACATTCTACTTTTCTAAATAAGCCAGATATATATATTTTTTGATACCGGGGATTGAACTCGGGTCCTTGCGTTTGCACAGTAGGCAGTGAAACCACTAAGCTAAATCCCCGGCCCAAGCCAGATATTTTTAAATAAGCAGGTGGAAATTCACTAGTATAGACAGTGGGCAAATTTTTTTTAACATAAATTTTGCAGTTGCCCCAAATGATTTGAATCTATCTTACAGATAATTGTATAGTGTGCTAAGATCTCGTATACAACAGAGGACTTAGGAAAGCCAAGAGACTTGTATAGAAGGAAAAATGGGGGCTTTAAAGTCAGACCAGAGGATAAGGTCCAGCTCTGACCCCAAGTAAACCACTAAACCTCTCAGCTTGTTTCCTGCTCTGAAAAATGGACAAAAGCACCTCACCTATAAGATATACAAATCCAAGGACATAAATATACAAAGACCTGACATGGTCCCTCATACTTAAATAGATAAGAAGAGTGGAGGGCCCGGGGATTTAGCTCAGTGGTTCCACCGCCTGCCTCACAAGTGCAAGGATCCAAGTTTGATCCCCAGTACCAAAAAAACAAAAGGCTAGCCTGGGCTACATAGTGAGTCCAAGGCCAGCCTGAACTACATAGTGAGACCCTGCCATTTCTCAAAAAAAAAAAAAAAAATGAAGAAGAAGAAGAGTACTTGCCTGGCCTGCGTGTGGCCCTGGGTTTGATCCCTAGCACTGGGTTTTGAAATCTGGGCATCACTGACTCCTAAACTAGTAGTAATTGTGAAGTCCACACCAGCCCCAGATCCAATTCCTGACCTTGGGAAAAGAATGGTTTCTGATAGTCTATTGTAATATCTTTTCCCTGATACTGTTTGTTTTAGTTACTTTTCTTTTTTCTTTTTTTTTGGTATCAGGGATTGAACTTGGGTCCTTACGCTTGCGCAGCAGGCAGCGAAACCACTGAGCTAAATCCCCAGCCCCTAGTTACTTTTCTTGTAGCTGAGACAAAATACCTGCACCCAAAGTTAAAGGAGGAAAGGTTTATTTGGCTCACAGTTTGTAGAGGTTTCAGTCCATAATTGGCTGGCACCAAGGCAGGGTCGATGGTAGAGGGGCATCGCAGAGGAGAAACAGTTGATGGCAGGCAGAAGACACCAAAAGCAAGGGACAAGCAACAAACTACAACTAACTAGCAGTAAGCCTCTTTTGTGTCCCTTATATTGTATCCAGGCTATCCACCGTTAGGGCAGGTAGCACTCACACCTTTAATCCTAGCACCCTTAATCTTAGCATTGCACTGTGAATCAGTCACACACTCTAGATCCAGCCACTTCTGAAAAAGCCCCACCTATGACCACATGAGGCTTTAGGGGGCATCTAGACGCAAGCTGTAACAGTGTTCTACCATGATACTGACCTTAGATGTCTAGAAAGGACCTTGAATTCTGATTGCAATAGTTCTCCTATTGCAATAGTTGAATGTGTCTTCCAGAAAATACCTAAATAGATTTTTTTTTTTAATGTAGCTGGGAGGGCCGGGGACTTAGCTCTGTGGTTCTGCCACCTGCCTCGAAAGCAGAAGGACCGAGTTTGATCCCCGGTACAAAAAAAAAAAAAAAAAAAAAAATGTAGCTGGGAACATTGACTAACTCAATAACTGCAGCTGCAATAGAAGACTGTTTAAAAGATAATGTTATTGAACATTGACTGGGGCTGGGGATTTAGCTCAGTGGTTCCAGTACCTACCTCCCAAAGGGAAGGGCCCAAGTTCAATCCCCAGTACCAAAAAAAAAAAAAAATACTCTCTGCCTTTTCTTCTTTGTCAGCATGATTCACAGAGCCCATAAAGTGAAATAATAATAATGATAAAAATTCACATTTGTTGAACACTTACTATGCATAGAACTTTAAATCATTATAATAAACTTAAGAGATTGATACTAATATAAAACTTGTTTTATAGGTCAGGAACCTGAGCCTCAACAGAGCCCCACTTTACACATAATAAAAACATATCTCACTGGACATGGTGGTATACACCTGCAGTCCCAGCACTTGGGAGGCTGAGGCAGGAGTATCGCCATGAGTTTGAGGTCAGCCTGGGCAACGTAGTGAGTCCAAGTCCAGCCTGAGCTACATAGCAAGACCCTGTCTCAAAAAATCAAAAAAAAAAAAAAAAAGGAACACATCTCAGGGAGGTTGTGTAATTGGCCTATGGTCCCACAGTCACAAGACCAGGCCACAAATGGTATACTCAAGATTTGCACCTAGGTGATCTTACTCCAGAGCTGTGACTTTAGGGTGGCAAATGGTTCAAAACATATCAGAGCCAAGAAGATTTTTCAGGTACATGTACAACTGCTTGTACAGCTAGCACCTGGCATGCTAGAATAAGTATAACCTTGTAATCAACCAGGCCTAAGTTTGCCACTTACTAGCTCTGTGCTCTTGGATATAGCACTGTGGTTTATTTTCCTCATCTATACTATAACAGTTGTTGTCAGGCACTGTGGCACACACTTATAATCCCAGCTACTTAGGAAACCAAGGTAGAAAGACCTTAAATGTGGGCTACCTGGGCAATTTATCGAGACTCTGTCTCAAAATCTCAGAACATACTTTTTTCAGTAGTGGGGATTTGAACCTATGGCCTTCTCACTGAGTTATATTCCCAGCCCTTTTTTTATTTTGAGACAGGCCCTTGCTAAGTCACTAAATTGCCTAGGCTGAACTTAAAACCTGCAATTCTCCTACCTCAGCCTTCTAGACTGCTGAGATTACAGGTATGTACCACCATACCTGGCTTCAAAATAAAGAATTTTTTTAAATAAAGAATTTTCTAAAGGGCTGAAGTTTTGACTCAATGGTAGAGCACTGGTCTAGTGTGCTTGAGGCCCTTGGGTTCAGTCCCCACTACTGCAAAAGAAATAAAAGTTACGATTTTCAAAGGATTATTATGAGGAGCAAGCAAAATTTTATGAAATGTATGGCCTATGTAAACTTGGTAAATAGTACTGTAGCAGTTTGTATTATGTTGTATTATAATTATAAGTTGGGGTGTGATTGGTTTGTAGTTGAGAAGAGCTTAAGGATCAGAGAAGGGAAGAGATTTAGCCAGATCACATAAAGACGGAGCCACCAGTCCAGACTTCTGTTTTGGCTCCTGATGCACTGATAGCCATATGAAGAAAAGCCACTTTGTCACAGGAGCAGTCCTGGTAGTGAGACACAGTGTCTGTGAACCCCAAGGTAAAAAGACAAATTAATTTTCATAACAGGTGCACTCACTAATTACTGTTATTGCAAGCCCAAGGAGAGTGGCACTTTCCCAGCAATCTCTCAGTGAAGGGCGTCCTTAAGGGGCCCTTTTAGCACTCTCAAGGTGGGAAAGACAGTTACACCAAATGTCACCTCTTTGTTCTGTCATTTTATTTACCCAACAGACAATATAGTTGAGCTCTTTGCTAGGACAGGGGACACAGGAGAACAAGGAGGTCCCCAACCCCAAGGAACACAGAGGCACAATCTGTTCCTCTTGAGCACTGACACAGGATTCTCATCAAGGCCACTCAACCAGTCCCACTCGGTCCTAAGAGCATTGGCACACTCTATGCAAAGCAGCAGTCCCCTCGTCCCTTCCAGTTCAATAACCACGTATCTTGATTTTGATGTGTTTCAGCCGGGAAGGGCTACCCCTGCAAGACGTGTAAGATAGTGCTGAACTCCATAGAACAGTACCAGGCTCACATCAGTGGCTTCAAACACAAGAACCAGTGAGTAACCATTCTTTGAAATTCAAGGATCTCCAGCAGGAGCTCAGGGCTTCAGTCAGAACAAAGCCAGTCTCTGGCCTAAATGGAACCCTGGTAGCCTTTTCTCAGTCAACAGAAGATCAGTCAGTTAAAAGGAAAGCGTTGCCAGGGATTTAGCTCAGTGGTTCTGCTGCCTGGCTCGAAAGTGCAAGGTCTGGAGTTCAATCTCTGGCACCAAAAAAAAAAAAGGAAAGTGTTTCCTCTATAATTTTAAAATTGTCTCCTTTCTAAATTTTCCTCCCATCAGCTTCCCACAGCCTTTGGGCTGCCTGGGCTGAATGTTTTAGAAGTGAAGTATAGATGATTTCCTTTGTGGTCCTCTAAGAGTACTTGGATGTCCTGGCTGGTACCAGTCTGACTAAGGAAGCATGAATCTGTACACTCACCCAACCCCCACTGGCCTGAAGCCCTAAGTCTTCACTGCCATCTCTGAAGCAGGAGCTCCCTCTACAGGTTATTACCAAACACCAACATCTTTGAGCAATACCGAACAGCTTCCAAGTAGTGGCCAAGACAGACCCAATTACTCTCCGAATGACCTTAAATTCTGATGGGAGAAAACCAGCTAATAAAAGTTGTGATAAGGCTGGGGATTTAGCTCAGTGGCACCGCACCTGCCTCACAAGCACAAGATCCTGAGTTCCATCCCCAGTACCAAAAAAAAGTTATGGTAAGTGTGTTGAAAAGAAACAGTGAGGGCCGGGGATTTAGCTCAGTGGTTTCACCCCCTGCTCGGAAGCACAAGGACCCGAGTTTGATCCCCAGTACCAAAAAAAAAAAGAAAAGAAACAGTGAATAACAACGAAAAAAAGAAACAGTGAACATAAAGTGATAATAATCTTTTTTTTTTTTTTTTGGTACCAGAGATCAAACTTGGGATCTTCTGCTTTTGAGGCAGGTGGCAGAACCACTGAGCTAAATCTCTGACCCCATAGTGATAATAATCTTGAAATTGCCAGGTGTGGTGGAACACATCTGTAATCTTACCACTTGGGAGGCTAAGGCAGGAGGATTGCTGTGAGTTCAAGACCAGCCTGGGCTACATAGTAAGGTCAAGGCCAGCCTCAGGTACATAGACCCTGTCTCAAAAAAACAAAAATTAATTAATCTTGAAAGTGCCTAATCCTCATTGAGCCTCTCCTGCTGTAATGAGCCAAGTAAATTCTCTCAAGTTATCCTCGAGACAACCCTAACTGGAAGGGATTATTGCTCATTTTACAGATGTAGGCAACCAGCATTCAAAGTGATACTGAGAGAGGGCTTGATTCAAAGTAAAGCCCATCTGGTTCACATCGTACTCCTCCCAGGATATCATGCTGAGAAGGAGGTTGTGTCACTATGTGATAGGAAGAAGATAGAGCCCAACCAGAAGGGCCCTGTGGCTCTGTCCTCTCCTCTCTAAAAGGAAATGTATAATATGAACACTGAGTTACAGGACAACCTTCTGAGATGGGTATCATCATCCACATTTTACAACTGAGGAAAGTGTCAGGCAGGCAAGATTGCCGAATTGATTGCTTTGAATTCGGTGGTTGATTCTGTGTTGCTTATTGAGCCTAATGAATTGAAAATGGCAGAGGGCTGGAGATGAAGCTAAGTAATAGAGTGCTTGCATAGCAACATTCAGTCCCTAGTACCACAAAAAAATAAGAGAATACGAAAATAGTGCTTGGGCCGGGGATTTAGCTCAGTAGTTCTGATGCCTGCCTCGCAAGCTGAGGACCCAAGTTTGATCCCCAGTACCAAAAAAAAAAAAAAATAGTGCTTTTTTCAGCAGTATATATACTGAAATCAGAATGATACAGAGAAGATTAGCATAGTCTCTGTGCAAGGATGACACACAAATTTCATGTTTTAAAAAAGAAAGTAATGGGCTGGGGATTTATCTCAGTGGTTCCGGCGCCTGCCTTGCAAGCACAAGGTCCCAAGTTCGATCCCCAGTACCTAAAAAAAAAAAAGTAATGCAGCTGGGCATGGTGGCACACACCTATAATCCCAGCATTTGGGAGGCTGAGGCAGGAGGATCTCTCTGAGTTCGAGGCCAACCTGAACTACATAGTGAGACCCTGTCTCAAAAAAAAAAGAAGGAAAGAAAATGATGAACATGTAGAATGATGGAATAAAAAATATCTTTGGTCCTCTCTATTCTGCCTGGAGTCTCCTGTCCCATGCTGGAGCAAATCTTCCTCCTTATCTGTGGCTAATTGGAGAACTGTTGGGCTTATCTTAGGTGAAATGAGGCAAGCCCCAGCATCCCAGCCTGGCCCTCACACAGCCTCCAGCATACCTGCCTTGAAGTCTGGCTAGTGGCAATTTCAGTAGACAACCTGCCCTACTTGAAACTGCTAGTGCTGTTTATTGTTCTCTTCCTAAACTTCTTAACTGTGTGACCTTGGCCAAGTCAATAAACCTCTCTGAGCTTCTACTTATTCTATAAAATTAAAGCTACAGTTTGTTGAATAAATCAATAGTTCATTATCATTAACTTCTCACCAACAGCTCTAAATTGGGACACCCCCCTTTTACAGCCAGAGGAAGCCTAATGTGTTAAGTTAGTGGCCCATAGTGGCGTAGTTAGTTGGAGTTAGACCAAGGATTCATATCCATTTGATTCCAAACATCATGTATTTTGGCCTATCACTATCAAATGGAACTGATTAACCTGATCTTATAGGCTATGTGAAGTTTAGAGATCATATGTGTGAAGTACTAGTGTTAATAAGTTTGTTTACTAAAGATAAACTTTGATTTTTTTCAACAAACATTTCTTCAGCACCTATTATGTACCAGGCCCTGTTTTTGGCACACTGGGGTATAGTAGGAACCAAAACCAATGTTACCCCTGACCCTTTGGATCTTCCCTCTAGAGATGAAAGCTGACCCTAAACAAATCCATAAACAAGTGAGACAATATCAGGTGGTGCTAGATGCCCAGAAGAGATTGGAGCATGAAAGGAGAGCCACTTGGTTTTTTTTATTGGGTTGGTTTGGTTTGGTTTTTGTTTTGTGTTTTGTCCAGTACTGGGGATTGCACCCAGAGCCTTCACACTGAACTGGATGCCCAGCCCTTTTTTTAAATTTTGAGACAGGGTCTCACTAAGACATTAAGTTGCCCAGGTTGGGGTTGAACTTAACGATCCTCATGGCTCAGCCTCCCAGAGTGCTGGGATACAGGTGTGTACCACCGCACCCAGTCTGGAGAGCCACTTTTGACTGAATGTTAGGGGAAGGATGGTACAGAATGAGCCTGGTAAATTAAGAACCATCCAGGTCCTCTAGGGCCCTGTAGGCAGAGTAAATGGTTTGGTATAGTAGAAAGGTATGGGCTGCAAACCTGAACCTACCACTTAAAAACTTACTTTGGGCCAGCCATTTAAACTTTCTGAACTTTAATTTCCTTATATATAAAATGGGGATCCTGTTCCTTAGCGGGTAGAATTGCCATGAGGATGAAATGGGATAATGGAAGCAAAGCACCAGTGTCATGCCTAGCAGTAGGCCTCAGTAAAGGAATGCTGTCTTATTGTTCTAAGGTACTAGAAGAACTGTACTACCTTGAGGACAGGCTATTTTGTTTTTTCTTGGTACCGGCGATCAAACTTGGGACCTTGGGCTTGCGAGGCAAGTGGTGAACCACTGAGACAGGCTATTTGGCACACCTTTACAAGTGTGCCATTCACTGACCCAGTGCCTTTGTTTCTTCTCAAATTACAGGTCACCAAAAACAACGGTATCACCCTTGGGCCAGATTCCAGTACAGAATCAACTCATTCAAAAAGATTCAAGCACCTTGGAAGACTAAAGATGTTTCTGTCCAACAGCTCGTGTTGGACTAGCCATGAGCCAGCTTCCTGTGACTGTGGTCAGCTCCTGGCTCCCTCTTTCTCCTTTCTTACACCAGGAGAAGATGTAGTCCTAAGCCTCTGATTGGCCCAGGGAAATCCACTCCTGCTCCTCCTCCTTGGTATGGACCCTGTAGGTCATTACAGGGAGGCAGGGGTATTAAGAAGATTGGAGTAGTAGTTTGAAGAATGGCCTTCCTCCTTCTTCAGCCCCTCTGGGCCATATATTCTGTGGCCCCAGTGCCTATTTTCCTCTCAAGGTCAGTTTTGGGCAAAAATTCCTGCAGCTAAAGACCAGAATTGTCCCTGGGCTCCAGGCATCTCTGGTGGAACTGGAGCTTTCATGCAGACTTTGGCAAGAAAGGAAATAGTTAGATGGAAGTGGCTGCCACATGGAAGCTTAGAGCTTATATCACAATCTTCCCGCACAGACACCCTCCCAAAGTACAGGCTTTCCTGAGCCTTGGACCAGATGCTGCCCCGCTGTGCAGTTCTGCCAACTGTGATGTGTCCTCCTGGAGCACTGACACTGTTCTGGCAGAGCATTCCCATCCCTCTTGCCATCTCCATGGTTCCTGATGGTGCTAAGGATCTGTGACAGCTAAGGACAAGCTGGAGCTGGAAGAGGCCTCAGTGCCCAGTGGAACCATAGGAAGCTCCAATGGGGACCTTTTGCCTCCTCCATTAGAGGTCCTCTGGCCCAAGGTCATGTGGGAAGTCCCCCACCTGCTACTTTCCTTTATGGTTTTGTGCCCTTAAAAGCAAATTGCCTCACGCCAGCCAGCTGAGAGATTCATTGCTACCTTTCAGCCCTATTAAACCTTTCCTTCCCCTTGTGCAGTGGATCACAATGCCCAGGTTGCTGTGGTGCTATCCTTCACTCATCATCCACAGAGAAACTCCCAGGTACCAAGGAGACAGGGGGCCCCCCAGGGAAAGAAACAGAAAGCTGGTGCAAGTTTCTACAGTAAGGAGCTGGGCAGTTTATAATCCCAGCACTTGGGAGGCTGAGTCAGGAGGATTGATGCAAGTTTGAGGCCAGCCTGGGCTACATAGTGAGCTCAAGGCCAGCCTGAACTACATAGTAAGACCCTGTCTCAAAAAAAGTTTCTACAGTGAGGAAACATGTTTCCTGGACCCCAAACCCAGGTTTCTTTCAACTTCACTGTTCTGTGGCCTGGTACTTTCCTGGGAGAGCAGTTTTTCCATGTAGCTTTTGAGCGGGAATTCCAGGGAGTGTCATCTGAGGCTCCTCTTCATTGGATTAAAGAAGCCTCCAGCTGCTGTTGTGGCCTCTCCTCCACTGTCTATCCTTCACCTGTGAAATGCTTTGCGGTGTGTGTGTGTGTGTGTGTGTGTGTGTGTACACATGTGCCTGTGCACTTATGCTCTTTGTCTCTTGATCACCACAATATCCAAATAAAGACCATCTTCCATGAGCCAGATTGCAGCTTAACAGACACAAGGATTATGGGGCCATATTCCCCTTGGAACTAATCTATCTGTCTTGATACCCCTCTCCCCACACACTTAGATTCCCAGGCCCCTCAGTACTGATCTTAGGAGTTAGGAGAAAGACAGATGTCAGATTGCTTGATAGGTAGATCCTGGTAGTGGCATGGTCTCACAAAGTAAGCAGCCACTCAGGCCAGGGGTGGCAGCAGCACCTGCAAAACAAATTGGGCAAAGCTCAATGTTTAATTTATATTCCAAGCCTCCCCATGCTGGAATTTACCCAATTCCAAAGTATTAGACTGTTTATAACTAAGAAAATCAAATCAAAGTGATTAAATGAAAAAGGAAATGTATTGATTGACCTGATGAAAATTCCAAGCACAGCTGGCCATGGTGGAGCATGCCTGTAATCCCAGCACTCAGGAGGCTGAGGCAGGAGGATCGCTGTGGGTGTGAGGCCAGGCTCAACTACATAGTGAGACCCTGTCTCAAAAGAAAAAAATCCCAAGTTCTGACTGTCATCAGGAATAATTTCATCTTGCTCTGAGTGGCCTCTTTCTCGGGCACATTCCAACAGGGGGCATGATGGCCACTGGCCACTCCTGGTTTGTATCCTGATATATCAGTAACAGTAGTGGTTATCTTTGACAAAGGGGCCAAACACCTTCACTGGAAGAAAGATAGCCTCTTTAATAAGTGGTGCTGCAAAAACTGACTTTCCACATGCTGATAATTGAACCTAGACCCATATCTCTCACCATGCACTAAACTAAAATCAAAATGGATCAAAAATCTAAACATTAAAAAAGAATCTGCTTGAAGATAGAATAGGTAAGACTCTTGAAGACATAGATATAGGCAAAGATTTTACGAACAAAACGTCCATCAAGGGCTGGGGATTTAGCTCAGTGGTTCCGGCAACTGCCTTACAAGCGCAAGATCCCGAGTTTGATCCCCATCCATCACACAGGAAATATTATAAAGAACAACTAAGATCACATAAAAAGCTTTTGCACAGCAAAAGAAACTACAATAGAGCAAAGAGACAGCCCTTGGAATGGTAAAGAATTTTTACCAGCTACTCCTCACACAATGGACTAACATCTAGACTATAACTCAAAAAAAATCAGACCCCCCCCAAACTTAAAGACCCAATCCAAAAATAGTCATCTGAAGCAAATAGGCACTTCTCATGAAGAAGTACAAACAGCAAATATATGAAAAAATGTTGAACATCACTGGTCGTTTGAGAAATACAAATTAAAACTGGAGATTCCATCTCTTCTAAAGAATGGTTATCATCAAGAAATCAGTAACGGGCCAGGGATTTAGCTCAGTGGTTCTGGCGCCTGCCTTGCAGGCGCAAGGTCACAAGTTTGATCCCTGGCACCAAAAAAAAAAACAAAAACAATAAAAGAAATCAGTAACAGGGCCGGGGATTTAGCTCAGTGGTTTCGCTGCCTACTTCGCAAGCGCAAGGACCCAAGTTCAATTCCCCAGTATCCCCCAAAAAAGAAGGATAAACGAGTTGTTTTTAGGTATGTGGATGCACCTTGAGACCACAATTTTAAAAAATAAATCAGACACAATTTTTTGAGCAAGGTCTCCCTATGTAGTTCAGGCCAACCTTGAACTCACTTTGTAGCCTAGGCTGACCTTGATCCTCCTGCCTCAGCCTCCAGAGTGCTAGGATTACAGGTGTGCACCACCATGCCTTGCCAGACACACATTTAAATACTGCATTATTTCTCTTGAGTAACAAACCCAAAGGGTAAATAAGGAGCATAATGGAGGATAAATATTGGGAAGTAGGAAGAACATGTTCAAATGGGAAGACAAAAGGGAGAAAACTAATGGAAGAAAAAAATGGAAACAAGGCCTTTTTTGTTTGTTTTCTTGAGATAGCATATTGCTATATATTTCAACTTGGCCTTGAACTCACTGTGAGCCCAGGCTGGCCTCAGATTTGCAGTGATCCTCCTGCTTCAGCCTACCAAGTGCTAGGTTTACAGGCATCTGCCACCACATCCAGCACAAGGCTTTTGTAAATGGAGAAGGGGAAGAAGGTTGACAGGAGGAGTGGGGAATGGAAAAAAGAAAAAAATAATAATTAATATATATTATGTACAGCTACAAATTCCCTACAATGAATGTGATCATAATGTATAACAAATATGTACTAATTTTTTAAATAAAGTAAAAAAAAAAAATGATGGAAGAAACATCTCTATCTACTAGCCTAACTAAAATCCTGGAATTGACTCAGTTCCCACCCTAAACTAGTCACTGTGGCTAGGGGTGTCAGAGCTCTGATTTGAGGCCTAGTAATGTGCCTGAATCCTGGGAAGAAATCAGCTCTGCCTAAAGCACATCAACTGAGAAAGGGTAGAGATGCAACCGAGAAAGAAAATTGTAGGCTGGGCATGGTGGCACACACTTGTGATCCCAGCACTTGGGAGGCTGAAACAGGAGGGTTGCTGTGAGTTGAAACCCAGCCTGGGCTACATAGTTCAAGGCCAGCCTGAACTACAAAGCAAGAACCTGTCTCAAAAAACAGAAAGCAAGTTGTAAGATTCTTGCCAGACTAGAGGGACAAAAACAGTGTTCTCTGCCAAATCCAGGAACTGTTTTTATCAGCCATTTCCTTTTTTCTCTAACTTCGAGATATAGCATACATTTAGCAATGTACACCAGGGCCAGGGATTTAGCTCAGTGGTTCCAGCGCCTGCCTCACAAGCGCAAGGTCCTGAGTTCGATCTCTGGTACCAAAAAAACCCCAAAAAAGCAATGTACACCAATTTTTAGAGTGAAGAGTCATCATATATATAAATATCTGACCACTCACCTTCTAGATCAAGATATACAACATTTCCTGGCATAGGCAATCCCTGGGTTTCAACCCCAGCACCAAAAAATAAAAGATACAGCATGTTGCCAGCTTCCCAGTTTTGTTCATTGCTCTAATCAGTCACAGTCCCTCAGAACCACTGTGTTGACTTATATCACCATAGCTAAGTTTTGCTTGCTCCTAAGTTTTATAAAAATGGGATTATACATATATCCTCTTTTCTACAGCATTATATCTGAGGCTCACCCATGTTACTGTATCAGAAGTTTACTTTTTGGTAGCCAGGCATGGTGGCACGTGCCATAATCCCAGCACTCTGGAGACTGAGGCAGGAGGATCGCTTCAAGTTCAAGGCCAGCCTGGGCTACATAGTGAGTTCAGGGACAGCCTGAACTACAACTGGAGACCCTGCCTCAAAAAAGGGGGGGAGGGGCCAGGGATTTAGCTCAGTGGTGCCGCTGCCTGCCTTGAAAGCACAAGGTCCCAAGTTCAATCCCGAGTACCCCCCCCCCAAAAAAAAGACCACAGGACCCACAGTATAGCAGTTAAACATCAGAAGCAGCTCCTGCCAGTGGTTCTAGTGGCCAGGGAAAGTCTCACAGAGAGGCATCAGCTCTGGAGAGGCAATCTGGTGCAATGACAAGGAACTCAGACTTAAAATGAGGAAGCCAGGGTTCAGATCTCAGCTTGTCCCTGGCTGAGTAGTGTATGTATGACCTTGGTTAATTAACCTATACTTCAGGGTGAGACACTAAAAGGATAGCTAGCTGTAACCCCAGCACTCAGGAGGTTGAGGTGGGAGGATCGCCACAAGCTCGAGGCCAATTTGAGCTACATAATGAGTTCAGCGCCAGCCTGAACTACATAGCTAGACCCTGTCTCAAAAAAACAAAAAATAAAAATGGATAGCTAGATATGAAATAATTATAGTATCTGATATGTGGTAAGTGCTATCTAAATAATGGCTGGTGCTGGTTTGGGAGGTTTGTTTGCGGTAAAGGGGATTGAACCCAGAGTGCACTGAGCTACATCCCCAGCCCCTTTTATTTTTTGACAGGGTCTTGCTAAATTGCCCAGGGTGGGCTCAAACTTACAATCTTCCTGCCTCACACTCCCAAAGTGCTCCTTTGAACTCTTAACAGTCATCTTCCATTGCTGGGGTTTTAACTCAAGTCCCTCAGGCTCTGTAGCCAGTGACACGTGAGGAGAAGAAATGGAATCATGTATAAAATAGAATCAAGATGAAATGGGAACTGGGCATGGTACACCTGCAGCTCCAACACTCTGGGAGGCTGAGGCAGGAGGGTCAGAAGCTCAAGCCCAGGCTGGGCAATTTAGAGATTTAGTAAGATGGGATTGGGCATGATGGCACATACCTGTGACACTGAGGTCAAGGCCAACCTGGACTATGTAGTGAATTCAAGGCCAGCCTGTACTACATAGCGATAACCTGTCTCAAAATAGAAAATAAGCTGGGGGTGCAGCTTAATGCAAAGGTCCTGGGCTCAGTCCCCAGTCCCTACTACTGCTAAATAAATAAATATTCACACCGGATGTGGTGGCACATGCCTGTAATCCCAGCACTTGGGAAGCTGAGACAGGAGGATCATCAGGAGTTCGAGGCCAGCCTGGGCTAAATAGTGAGACCCTGTCTCAAAACAAACAAACAACAACAAAAAAAGTCATGCTTTCAGCCCAGAACTAGATGCAAAGCAAGTTTGGGGGCTATAAATAACCCCTCAGTGTGGACACCAATCTGTACATGTACCCATATAGCAGCCATGAATACGGATGTGAGGGACACTAGCCTGGGATTCAGGGGTCCTGGATGTTGGTCTAAATGCTACCACCAGCTTGGCATGGTGGTACATGCCTGTGATCCCAGTTCTGGGGAGGTTGAGGCAGGAGGATCACTGAGAGTTCAAGGCCAGCCTGAACCATGTAACAAGACCTTGTCTCAATCCATTGATGGCACCACCAACTTCTAT